GGGCCTGGAGCTCGTGCGAGGGGCCGGGCTCTCCCTGCGCGGCCGCTTGGAGGGCGTCGGTGTCATGGAGAGCCTGGGAGTCGAGCTGAACTCCGAGAAGCGGGAGACGCGCCTCGCGGCCGCCCGCTACTGGCGGCTGGGCGCCGGGCTACGCTGGCTGCTGGCTCGGCGGAAGGTGTCGGCGCACATGATCGAGGTGTTCGTCGGCCATTGCGCGAGTGTCGGGCTGCTCGTGAGGCAGGCGATCTCCGTGTTCCGCGCTGTGTACAAGTTCGTGCAGGCCCACCTTCAGGCCTTTTTCCCATCTGGGCCTCGGTCAGGGCCGAGTCCAAGGCGTTCTTGGGTATCATGCCGCTGCTGATAGCCTCCTGGGAGTTGCCGTAGGGCGGGGTGGTGGGCGCCAGCGACGCCAGCGAGTTCGGTTGCGGGAGCTGCTCCACGTGGTGGGGCGGCCGCACCGCCGCCCGGCATGGCAGGGTGCCCGAGCGGTCGAGGTGCCGCCTGGGCTCGGCCGCCGCGCGGGACCACGCCTTGCTGCAGTCCAGGCTCGGGAGTTTTGACGACGAGATCGACGACCTCCCTCGCGAGTGTTTCGAGGAGGTTGGAGATTTTCCCGAGATGCCGCCCCGGCTGCTGAGGAAGGCTGACTGGCGAGTTACCATCAGAGGTCGCTGGAGGCGGCCCGAGCACATCACCTTGCTGGAGACCCGGGCTGCCGTCGCCATGCTGCGCCGGGGGGCGAGAGCTGGGCCGGGGGCCGGCGTGCGGAAGCTCTATCTGGGTGATAACCTCGGTATGGTTTTTTTCGCTGGAGAGTTGCCGAGCGCGAGACTATGCGTTTTTGACCCAAGTAAAGAAGTGGTGTGCTATATGTCTTGCAAGAGAAATCCGTCCAGCTATTCGTTGGATCTCGTCAGAACTAAATGTCGCCGACGAGCCCTCCAGGGAGCCCGGGTCGAAAGGCGCGATGGCCACGTCTGGGTCGTCACTCCCTCGGCCGCTCCCGCAGCCGCCTGGGCTCGAGCGCCTGGAGGCTTGTGGCGATCACCAGCCGCCGACAGGAGCGCCCGGCCAGGATGTCCAAGCGCGTCCTGGGCGCCGGCGGCGCGCTGACCGCGGGGGCCGCCAGCCAGGCGCCGGCGCCGCGGCCTGCGCCCGGCGGCCCCAAGGGCCGGCAGCGGACGCTGACGGAGGCCGACGTCCACGCCTCGCTGAACTCGAGGCTGCGCTCCAAGCTGGCGAAGCCGTCCGTGGACCTCGACGAGGTAGGGGGCGCGAGCGAGGAGGGCCGCGAGACAGACGGGTCAAGCGAGGCTACCTCCAGGGTTCCCGGTTCCTGTTCATCGCGGTCCTGCGAGGACTCGCCGGCTGGCGGGAGATCCCAACCTCGACCCGAAGCGGGGCGCCACGCACCTGGAGCAGAAGAGCGTGACGCCGAGGGTGATGGACGACTACGAGCGACGCGTGCGGCTTGCGTTGAGCTTCGCGCAGCGGCGCCGCCTCCAGGCCCGGTCTCAGACGGACGTGGACCTGCTGTTGACGTACTTCATGAACGTAAAGTACCGCG